AAGATCTACAGCTGCTGCTGTCGGTCACCTGAGAGACCAGGCTGAGGCAGCCGAGCAACCTCCCAAGGAGCCTTTTAATTACTATGTTCAAGTGTGGTTTGCAGTGAACGTGGTGAAGGAGGTGTGGGCTGCTGCGCAGTGAGGCAGAGGCAGGGCACTCAGTGTGCATTTGTGCCCTTCCTGTTCCTCCTGGCAACTCCAGGATGTCATCACCCTTGCAGGAAGGGGGCTCACCTTCTTAGTGTGGGAAATTGGCCCCAAGGCATACCCCCTTGAGCGTTTCCTAGTTAGAAATTTGTGTGCAGCTTCCCAAAGGACCTTCCTGTGTACAGATTCCACTCTGTGGAAGAGGATACAATGGGAAGCTTCTAGTGTCCTGTGCAGCTTCTTAGATTCCATTTGGGATTCACCTGGAAAAAGCAATGCTTATGCCTTCGAGTTTCTCCATTTCAACTCCAGTTAGGTAAAGGGGAGAAAAGTAGAAATATTCACCTTTTGTGTTCCCCATCTTTTAATTTTTTGTTGTTTTGGTTAATAAAAATAACGTACTCAGCATGAGAATTTGGAAAATGCAGAAAAATAGAAGACAGGCCCCCCCCAGCCCCCTACTTGATGCTGTGGTAACAAGCATTCTTGCTCTGCGGCCGACCTCACACCCTGCATGCAACTTGTATCCTGCCTTTTCCCCCTTTAAATAATCTTAACTACAAGCATAGTATTTCATATTAACATTCTGTTGGTTTTCTTTTAAAACACTGTTCTTAATATCTTTTGCCAGGTCAGCTTCAGTAAGATATAATTGCACCCAGTGAAAGTCATCACTTTCAGGTATACAATTTGATGAGTTTTGACATCTGTGTACAGTCATATAACCACCACTACGATCAAGATATAGAACTCCATCACTCCAGAAACTTCCCTCATGCCCCTCTGGAGTTGATCCTTCCCCCAACCCCCACACAGAGCCCAGCAGCCATTGGTCTTCTTTCTGTCCCTGCGATTTTACCTTTTCCAGAATGTCATATACCTGGAATCATGCAATAGTTAGCCTTTTGAGTCTTTCATTTAACTTCTTTCATTTAGCATGATGCGTTTGAGATTTGTGGTGTTGTGTGTATCCTCAGTTCACTCTGTTTTACTGCTGAGTAGTATTCCACTGTATGCAGGTATCACTGTTTATCCATCGCCCAGGAGAAGGACATTTAGGTTGTTGCCAGTTTTTGGCAACCAAGAATCAAGCTGCTATAAATATTTGTGTACAGGTTTTTGTATGAATTAAGTTTTCATTTTCTTTGGGTAAATATCTAGGAGTGGGATTGCTGGGTCATATGGTAACTATATATTTAATTTTATGAGAAATTGATACACTCTTTCCAAAGTGGCTTCACCATTTTGGATTTCCCCCAGCAGGATACAAGGCTTCGGCTCACTCTGTACCTTCACCAGTACTTGATATTGATACACACCCCTTTTGCTTGTTTGTTCAGCAGTTCTAATGGGTATGTAGTGGTATCTCATTGTGGCTTTGGTTTTTATTTCCCTAATGACTAATAAGCATCTTTTCCTGTGATTTTTTTGCCATCTGGATTTCTTATTTGGTGAAATATCTTTTCATTTTTTCCCTTTTTTCTGGGGTTGTTTGTTTTCTGACTGCATTTTGAGAGTTCTTTATAGATTCTGGATGCAAGTCCTTTTAAGTTTTTACAAATATATTCTAGATTGGCTTTTCTTTTCATTGTGGTGTTGTTGTTGGTGGTGGTGGTGGTTTGTTGTTGTTGTTGTTGTTGTTGTTGTTGTTGAGACAGAGTCTTGCTTTGTCGCCCAGGCTGGTGTGCAGTGGCACGATCTTGGCTCACTGCAACCTCCGCCTCCCGGGTTCAAGCGATTCTCCTGCCTCAGCCTTCTGAGTGGCTGAGATTACAGGTGCCTGCCACCATGCCCGGCTAATTTTTGTACTTTTTCAGTAGAGACAGGTTTCACCATGTTGGCCAAGCTGGTCTCGAACACCTGACCTCGTGATCTGCTGGCCTCAGCCTCCCAAAGTGCTGGGATTACAGGCATGAGCCACTGCAGCCAGCCTCTTTTCATTATTTTAACAGTGTCTTTTGAAGAGTGGAAGTTTTAAATTTTGATAAAGTCCAGCGTATCAGATTTTTCCTCTTGGATTATGCCTTTGGTGTCCTATCTAAGAAATCTTTGCATAATTGTAAGTTGCAAATATTTTCTTCTATGTTTTCTTCCAGAAGTTTTACAGTTTTAGGTTTTACAATTAAAATGTACAATTCAAGTTAATCTTTGTGTATAATGCAAACTATGGATTAAGGTCCACTGTAGCAGGAGACAGATGTTCTTAAATATCTGTTTGTTTGTTTCCTCCCTCTGTCCCTCTTTTTTTTTTTTTTTTTTGAGACAGTTCACTCTATCACCCACCTGGGCTGGAATGCAGTAGCACTGTCACAGCTCACCACAGCCTTGATATCCTGGCCTCAAGTGATCCTCCCACCTCAGCCTTCTAGGTAGCTGGGACCACAGGTGTGTGCCACCACACCTGGCAAATTTTTAAATTTTTTGTAGAGGTGGGGTCTCCCTGTGATGTCCAGGCTGGTCTCAAACTCCTAGGCTCCAGCCCTCCCTTATCAGCTTCCTGAAGTACTGGGATTACAGGCATGAGCCACCACACACAGCCAAGTATCTGTTTAAAAAGAAAAGTTGTTCCTAAATGATTCCTTACACTCCAATAAAACAGGGCTGTGAAAATGAGTTCTTTGGAAATCTGACCATAGCTGCTGCTTTTTAAAAACCATACCTTCTTATCTGCCAGTTTTGAGACTGGCCCTTTGTTGATCTACAGCTCTCCCTTTTTGGAAGGTGCTGGAAAGAACACTGTTAGTGGCCTTCATTTCCCCTCTGGTCCAGGTCTCCTGTAGATGGCTTCTACAGTTCTGGCCCCTCTGAACGCATCATTCTTGCTCAGCAGCTGCACAGGTAGGCAGTGAAAACTAGCATCTTTTTGACTATAGACTGTTGGCTTCCTGGGGAACAACCATGTTCCATGTTGGGTCAGCTTATTGATAAGGGGAAAAGACCTAGCATTCATTAAAAACTTGCCCAGCAACTTTGCTGTATCACAGAAGTCCTATGCAACATAAAATAGTACTAGGTCCATCTTTTAGACGAAGCAGTGAGACCTGTTCAAGGTTATGCAGCTAGTAAAATGGTCCAACCTGACTTGCCTTACTCCAGAACTTTTTGCTTATTCCATTATTTCCTGTCAGCTCTTCATGGAACCACTTCCTGTGTGTCTGATGGCTCACTGTGCGCTCACACACACACCCCAACTAATGGCAGGTGCAGATTGGCGGGTGCAGGTTACAAGTATTGCAGTGCAGTTGCTTTTAGCAATTTATCTTCCTCTTTCCTCTGAGCTGGATTTAATTTACTTCAGTTCCCCACATTTGGCCTTGTAGCTTTTACCTTTAGAATGGCTAATTGGCTACTGCAATATTTATTTCATATGTGAATTATAAAAGTGCCCTTAGTGGATGTTTCTTTACATACAGTTAAGTGTTTGTTGTATCAGTGTGTGACTGGGAAGGCCAGGCTAGCTGCAGGTTATCACAAGCCCCTTGCCTGGACCCCGTGAGCCACTGGACCCCGTGAGTCCTTTTCAGTGGATCATCTCCTGCCCACCCTCACTTCTCAGGAGTGGTCTCGCCATCGTTACTGGGAGTCCCAGAATGTGCCTGTTCACAGCGATGAGACCCAGGGCAGAAAGATTCCGATTACCCTCTCCCAGTCTCTTCATCCTAACTCCCTGGATCTTATCACAGTAAATGATCAGAAGTGGGAATTCTCATGTTAGCTGAAATTCTCTTCATGTTTTTTCTTGTGTTTAGACTTCGTTATCTTTAGGCATCCCTGTTATTGATGATAACCACTCTGAACTCAGTGATATGATTCCCTAGTTTGTAAGACACTGCACCCCCTCCATATTTAAAAGTTATTTCCTATTGGAGGTATCATCAAAGACTTCTCTCCCTTTCTGAAATCTTGGCTAGAAGACAGACTGCCAGTTTTCCCTGCCAGCCCTACTTTATGACTTAATGCATGGCACCACTTGTGCAGCTGATGCCTGGTTGGGCCACACTTTCCATTATGAACATGTTCTTTCCTGACTTCCCTCGCATTCATTGAAGTCCAGATCCCAGCTCAGTTGCTGGCCGCAGCTGCTGCTATTGTACAAAGTGGCATGAATAAAAAAGAAAGACTTCTGACGTTGAGGTGAAACTTTGTCACTGAAGAGATCTTTTCAATCCAAGAAGAGGACCCCAGCCAGCTTCACCGAAGCTGGAAAAAGCTGCAACCTTCTTTTGCCCCTGTTGAGATATTGGAACCCCCAGTCGTTGGCTTCCCTCTGCCTTACAGCTGCCCACCTGAGATTTCTCACCTAGGCACAGCCACAGCACAGCACAGAGAAACTCAGTTTCCGGGGACTTTGGCAGGGATCTTGGTCCTGTGGGAGGATTCAAACCCCATCTCAGCCACTTACTAGCTCTGTACATCCCGTAATATTACCCCACTTCTCTCAATCTGTTCTTGCATCTGTAAAATGGGGATAGTGGTACCAGCTTGTTGGCCTTTTAATGAAGATTGTATGAATTAAATGCCCACTGTAGTGCCAGCAAAGAATCCAGCGTGGTGCTCAGTGAGGAATACTGCGCATGGCTACAGTTTAACTCCTGTGAAATAGATAGATAGATGCTGGAGGCGGGGAGGTGCTTCCTCTGCCCCCCTGTGATGTTTCTGTGGTTTCACCTTCCCATGCTGGGCAATGCCCTCCTTAGACAAGACCTGTCTGTGGACTCTTTCCAGCGCGACTGTGCCGCCAGACGCTGGCCCCGTCTGCAGCTGTCGCAGGCCCTCTGTCTCTCTGCTGGTCGTGTCGTGTTCTCCTCAAGGTGTCGTCCTGCTGTTCATATTGTTTCGTTCTTTCCCACCAGGAAGCATCTCGATGAACAGCCCTGCCACACTCTTTGAAGTTCCTGACACATGGTAACCAGGACCTGAGGGCAGCAAACCGCTGGTGCTGTCGCTGTGAGCAAGAGCCGGCTGGCACATTTGGAAGCCATACTGTATTTAACTTAATCAAATGTGGTATGGGAGGGGTTGGAAACCTAGTTGTCTCCTGGGGGTGGGGGGAAGAGGTTTTATTTTTGTGGCTGTGGTTTTTTTTCCCTTTTTAATCTAACTGCCTGTTGACGTTGACACTCATCACGGTTGTAGGCTGTCATGAATGTGTACGTGCTTAACCAGTGAATTCCATGTTGCTTGTGTGAGGCCTTTCCTGTCATGACCCAGTGTGCTTAAGAACCCGCCTGATGGGGAGTGTTGGCTGTGAAATCTGCAGAAAGAGCTGACGTTCCAGCTGCCGTGATCATGAATTTGGGGGTATACTCCCCTGCCTGTGCATCTTCTCGCGCTGAGATTTTGAGGCGGTTGCAGCCCCCAGTTGGTCTCCCAGTGGAGATATCAGTTGTGCCTCCCTGCTTCCCACCATAGCTGCCTGAAAACATGACGTTCTCACACTTGTCCTTCCATCAGGAAGATGTTCACTCACGTCCACCCATGAGGGGGCTTGCTGTATGCCCTGGCCGTTGGGCATATTTATGTAGAGTTCCTTTTTCCTAAGACGTGAGTTTCTCGTGGGGGATGTACGAGTAAAAGGGTTAACTTCTGTTCTTATCGTGGCGCTGTGTTTACTTTCCAGAGTCTCTGTTCGTTTGTTTGGATGGTGGTCTCGGGGTACGGCAGCGTGTGTGCATACGTGTGTGTGTGTGTGTGTGTGTGTGAAATCGTGCAAATCTACATGTCCCAGCCCATTCTCTGTTTAAACAGATCACAGCAATGACAAACGCTCATGGCGCTGCTTCGCTTCACCTGCTTCAGATAGATCATTGTTAGATATTTCACATTTTTGTATGGTGGAAATAAAAATGAAAAATGTATTTCCAAAAGATGAAAATTAAAGACATTTTCATAGGACTCTGGTTTTCTCTTCTCTCTTTTTTTAATAAATGAATGATGCTTTTGCTCTCTAGTAATACACAGATAAATTTCACACTTCTAAAAAATCTGCTAAGCCACCAAAGCTGATGTTCATGGATTTTTTTCTTTTTCTTTTTACCCCTAACTGCTGTACCTGCCGCGATGGGCCAGCTCCTCAGTTCCAAGCTGAGCCCTGGTGGTAAGTGGCCTTGTAGAAGGGTGGGAGGAATGAGGACCCTTACCACTCATGCTGGAATCCCAGGGCATCATACAGATTCTGATTTGTGACAATTTCCCCAATCAAGAGCCTTTGTCACACCTGTAAGCTGAGACGGGAGGATCACTTGAGCCCAGGAGTTCAAGACCAGCATGGACAACACAGTGAGACCCTATCTCTTAAAAAAAAAAAAACAACTTCTTTTTTTTTTTTTTTTTTTAAGGCATTTTAACTTCTCTTCCCCCTTCCAGCTCCTCTCCCTTCCCCAGGAGTTTTGTAGCCACAAAGTTAGAAACCCAGGCTTGGCAGGAAGGACTGCCCACCCCTCCTAGAGCAGTCAGCACCCACGGCTCAGTGGAAAGTGTGAAGGTGGGATGGAGACAGGCAGTAAAGAAAGGTGTATGCAGGAGTGTGTAGAGAGGGCTGCCGGATTGCCAAGTCAGCAGCACTCGCAGGGAGAAATGAGGAGAGTCTGACCCTTCTTTTTGAAAGAAAAAGAGGGGGCCCAGTGCAGTGTCTCACGTCTATAATCCCAACACATCGGGAGGCCAAGACAGGAGGATCACATGAACCCAGGAGTTCGAGACCAGCCTGGGCAACATAGGGAGACCCCATCTCTACAAAAAATACAAAAATTGGCCGGGCTTGGTGGTGCATGCCTGTGGGCCCAGCTACTTGGGACCACGGGAGAATCACTTGAACCTGGGAGGTGGAGGTTGCAGTGAGCTGAGATTGTACTGCTGCACTTCAGTCTGGGCGACAGAGCAAGAATCTGTCTCAAAAATCAAAGGAAAGTAATTTCACAGGGTAGTTGTGAGGATTAAATGAAATTACATACGATGCCCAGCATGCGCAAGTACACAGTAAATTGTAGTTATATTTAAAGATTATGCTTTTGATCTGAAATCCTTACTGCATTTGCTTCTATCAATGGGAGCAGACATAGTCACTGGAATTTGACTTAGAATTAAACACCCAGAGGAGCTTTCATATGTGCCCAGACCTTTGTTTTCTCTGCTGCATCAAATAACTTAAAACAGGTGAGCTGTGGCTCATGCCTGCAATCTTGCCACTTTGGGAGGTGGAGGCAGGTGGATCGCTTGAGCCAGGAGTTCAAGACCAGCCTGGGCAACATGATGAAACCCTGTCTCTACAGAAAATTTAAAAATTGGCCGGGTGTGGTGGTGTTCGTCTGTTGTCCCAGCTACTCAGGAAGCTGAAGCAGGAGGATTGCTTGAGCCCAGGAAGTTGAAGCTGCAGTGAGCTGTGATTGCACCACTGTGCTTCCAGCCAGGGTATCAGAGCAAGACCCTGTCAAAAATCAGGTGAGATGGGCTAACCCACTTCCTTCTCCACACACACACACACCAGGCTTTCCTGACATATCTTTTGGGCATAAAATCCTAGGATGGTACTTCTGGCCTTTTGATACCGAGGCTCAGGGGCATATTATGACAACAAGGCTATGGTCTGGGGTCTTCTTGAATGTGGTAGCCAGATCTGGAGGCAGGCGTCAGAGTGGGAACTTCTGTGTTTCCCTGCAAATAGTTCTGTAGTCCTTTGATTTTGGAGCTGGGCTGGAGACCAAGCACTGTGGCTCTGTCCATTTTCATAACTTTGTATATGTCCAGTTTTCCCCATGAGATTTTATCATGAAGATTTTCAAGCATACACCACCTAGGTCATCGTTACCATTTTGCTGTACAGTCATGCCTTGCCGTCAACCATGGAGGTCCCATTAGATGACCTTAGAGCTGGGAAATTCCCATCAACTCCAGTGTATCTGTGTTTTAAGCTAAGTGTTGTTACAAAGGGGTCAAATAGTTGAAAAAAATTTAGAAGTTTATTAAGTAAAAAAGTTAACAGTAAGCTAAGGTCATTTTATTCTTGAAAGGAAAATTTTTTATAAATTCAGGGTAACCGTGAGTCCCAGGCCTTCACATTCACTCTCTACTCACTCACCTTTCCAGCCCTGCAAGCTCCATTCATGGTAAGTGCCCTACACAAGTGTACCATTTTTTTTTTAATACTATATTTTTACTATAGTTTTTATATGTTTAGATATACAAATACCATTGGGTTACAGTTGCCTACAGTATTCCGTACAGTAACATGTTGTAAAGGTTTGTAGCCCAGGAGCAATAGGCTATACTATCTAGGTTTGGGTAAGAATACTCTATGATGTTCATACAATGATAACATTGCAGGCTGGGCATGGTGGCTCACACCTGTAATCCCAGTGTTTTGGGGGGTCAAGGCAGGAGGACTGAGTTCAAGTCTGCAGTGAGCTATGACCGTGCCACTGCACTCCAGCCTGGGAACAGAGCAAGATCCTGTCTCTAAAAACAAAAATAAAATAAAAAATCCTATCCATGTTTGGGAATATTAATTTTTTTTTAAATCACCTAATGACGCATTTCTCAGAATGTATCCCCATCAATGACATGTGACTGTATTCACTTTATTACATATCCTTCCATTCATCAATTTATCTTTTCTTTTTGTTGTTGTTGTTTTTGTTTTTGTTTTGTCTTAGAGACAGTCTCACTCTGTTGCCCAGGCTGGAGTGCAGGGGTGCCATCATAGCTCACTGCAACCTCGAACTCCTGGCCTTGAGCAATCCTCCCACTTCATCCTCCCAAAGTGCTGGGATGACAGGTGTGAGCTATGGAGCCCAGCCTACATAATGTTTTTGAGATTCATCCATGTTTTATAGGTATCAGTAGTTCCTTCCTCTCTATTTCTGAGTATGGCTCTACCACTGCTTATTTATTCAATTGATGAACACCTAGGCTGTTTACATTTGGAGCCATTATGAATAAAGCTGCTGTGAACAGTCTTGTACAAGTCTTTGAAAACACAATCTTCAGTTTGGGGGAGTAAATGCCAAGGAGTGGAACTCTTGGGTCATGGGATAGGTGGTCTATTTAGAAACGGCCAGATCTTTTCCCAAAGTGATCATAGAATTTATACTGTCACCAACAATGTATGAGAGTTCTAGTATCTTCCTTCCTTAGCAACATTTGGCGGTGTCAGACTTTAATTGAGCCGTTTTGATGGGCGTATAGTATATCTCGTTGCAGTTTTCATGGTCATTTATCTGATGACTCCTAATGATGTACTCATTGGCCACAGGTATATCTTCTTTTGTGAGTTAGCTGTTCAATTATCTTGCCCATATTTCATCAGATTGTTGGTCTCTTCATTAAGTTGTAGAAGTTGGCCAGGCATGGTGGGTCACGCCTGTAATCCCAGCACTTTGGGAGGCCGAGGTGGGAGGATCACTTGACGTCAGGAGTTCGAGACCAACCTGGCCAACATGGTGAAACCCCATCTCTACTAAAAATACAAAAAGTAGCTGGGCAGGGTGGCAGTCACCTGCGCCTGTAATCCCAGCTACTTGGGAGGCTGAGGCAGGAAAATCACTTGAACCTGGGAGGCAGAGGTTGCAGTGAGCTGAGATCACGCCACTGCACTCCAACCTAGGTGACAGAGCAAGACTGTCTCAAAAAAAGAAAAAAAAAATATTGTAGGAGTTGATTACATATTCTGGACATCAGTCCTTTGTCAGATAGTTGTTTTGCAAATATTTAGTCCCAATGTGGGGCTTGCTTCTTTTCTTTTTTCTTTTTTTTTTTTTTGGCACCCGGGTTCATGCCATTCTCCTGCCTCAGCCTCATGAGTAGTTGGGACTACAGGCACACACCATCATGTCCGGCTAATTTTTTGTATTTTTAGGAGAGACAGTGTTTCACCGTGTTAGCCAGGATGGTCTCGTTCTCCTGACCTCATGATCCACCCGACTCAGCCTCCCAAAGTGCTGGGACTACAGGCGTGAGCCACCGCACCCAGCCGGCTTGCTTATTTTCTTAACAGTATCTTTTACTGGGCAGAAGTTTTTAATTAGAATGAAGTCTATTTTATAGACTTTTTCTATGTCCTGCCTAAGAAACCCCCAAGTTATATTCATCCATGTTTCCTTCAAGCTTTCTAATTTTAGCATTTATGTTTAAATCTATGATCCATCTTGAATTAACTTTTTATGGATGGTATGAGACTAGAGTTGAGATTCCTTCGTTCCGTATGGATGTCTAGTTATTCCAGCACCATCTGTGGAGAAGACCTTTCTGTTTAATTGTTTTGGTGCTTTGGTCAAAATTCTGTTTACCTAATTATAAGCATGGATCTTGAGGGTGTGTGTATGTGTTTCATTTTATTTTCACTGACAAATAATAATTGTACATGCTCATGGAGTACTTGGTAAGGTTTCTTTTTTTTTTTTTTTTTTTTGAAGATAGAGTCTTTGTCGCCCAGGCTGGAGTTCAGTCCCCCAATCTTAGCTCACTGCAACCTCCACCTCCTGGGCTCAAGCAATTCTCCTGCCTCAGCCTCCTGAATAGCTGGGATTACAGGTATGCATCACCATGCCCAGCTAGTGTTTTGTATTTTTAGTTGAGATGGGATTTTGCCATGTTGGTCAGGCTGGTCTCAAACTCCTGGGCTCAAGTAATCTGCCTGCCTCGGCCTCCCAAAGTGCTGGGACTGCAGGAGTGAACCACTGCCCCTAGCCAATAGTAATAATTTTGTGTGTGTGTGTGTGAGACAGAGTCTCGCTTTGTTGCCCAGGCTGAAGTGCAGTGGCATGATCTCAGTTCACTGCAGCCTTGACCTCCAAGGCTAAGCCAACCTTCCAACCTCAGCCTCCTGAGTAGCTGGGACCACAGGCATATGCCACCAAACCTGGCTAGTTTTTTGTGTTTTGTTTTTGGAGAGATGGGAT